ACACTTGATACTTGCTAGCTGTATGACCCTGGGCAAGTCACTTAATCCCCATTGCCGAGAGAGAGAGAGAGAGAGAGAGAGAGAGAGAGAGAGAGAGAGAGAGAGAGAGAGAGAGAAAGAAATCATGGGTTTCCACTTTGGCCTGCCTCAGAGAAAGGAAGCCATAGACAGAGTTGTGACCCAGATATTCATTTTGATCAAGACCAATGACTTGGTCCAAACAACCTCTTGGTTTTGAATGGCCTACAGATGCTAGGTGTCATATAGTTATAAAAGGAGGCAGGCAAAGGGAGCTGGAGTCTGTTCCAAATGCAATAATCTGAGGGTAAGCAGACCTCAAGTATGTTTGACTGTATCAAGCAAAAATGGGTCAGATCAAGCTAAATACAGAGGTTGGTAGAATTCTTTTTGGGTCAAGGGCTGTACTCATGGATACATTAGTCACTCTAATCTGCTCTATCTGCATTCCCCTTATATTACGTGATCTCAACTGGGTCCTCACTGCAACAAGACAATTCTTATATACCTTCCTAACTGATTTGATATGCCATTTACCCCAACTTTTTCATCACTCTGCAAGCCTCCTATGAAATCCCTCCATTCACCCTCTCATCCGAGAATCTCCTACATACTTGAGGCCATTTGCCAAAAGCTCTTCTTTCTCCCTTCCTCCTTTTTTCACATCACTCAGACATTTCCCCCAATTATCTCTTCTTTCATTCTTGTCTGCTTAATAATAATAATGATAACTAGCATTTATATAGTGCTTTAAAGTTTGCAAACCACTTTACAAATATCTCAGTTGATCCTCAGAACAAATCTGGAAAGTAGGTGCTATTATTATCCCCATTTTACAAATGAGGAAACCTGAGGCAGAGAGAGATTAAATGATTTGTACAGAGGCTCACAGCTAGTGTCTGAGCCTGGATTTGAAATTGGGTCTTCCTAAATCCAATCCTAGCACTGTATGCACTGAACCACCTATCTGCCTTTAATGGGCGACCCTTCTCATTACCAAGGTTAAACCCTCCTAAATGTACAAGTGATCCCATCTCCTCCTGTCTTCTACAGCAAATTGCCCCCATTCCTATCCCTACTCTCTCTCTAATCTGCAATCTCTCCCTATCCACTGTTGCCTACAAATAAATATACTTCTGTTGCCCCATTCTTAAAAAAAAAAAATCCTGTTTTGCTCTAACTCTACTAGCTGTCCTACATCACTTCTCCCCTTTTCAGCTAAACTCCTTGAGAAAGCTGCTTATAGCAGGCACCTCCACTTCTTTCACTTTCTTCTAAACTCTTTGCAATCTGGCTTCTGATCTCATCGTTCAGCTGAAACCACCCCCTCCAAGCTGACCAATAATCTCTTAATTACAGAATATCATGGCTTTTTATCCATCCTCATACTTCCCCCCCTTTCAATTTTTTTTATGAAATTTTATTTTTTTTCAATCAATGAAAATCCTCCTTCTCTCTCTCTCTCTCCCTTTACTCTTCTTCACTCTCCTATCCATTTTTGCTGTTCTATTTGCTGTTCCTCACATGAAACACTTTAAATCTTTCCTTCCCTACCTCTGACTCCTAACTTCCCTGCCTTTCTTCTAGACTCAGCTCAAATGATACCTTCTGCATGAGGTATTTCCCAGTCTCCCCTGCTGGTAGTCCTTTCCCTCTGAGATCACTCCCCCTACTCCATTTATACTGTATATTATCTTGTATGTATATAGTTCTTTTCGTGTTGTCTCCCCTATCAGATTGGGAACTCCTAGAAAACAGAGGCCATGTTTTTCCTTTCTTTGTATTTCCAGTAATTAGCACAGTGCCTGGCAAGAGTAAACATTGAATAAATGCTTGTTGATTGACAAACAGACCAGCCAGCTTTTATCACAACCTTTACATGAAAAGCTAGGAGATCATCTAATTTTGAAGTTTGAAAGCTTTTTAAAGATGATTCAGTCCTAACCGCTCATTCTGCAGGTGAGGAACTAGGTCTGAGGAGTGGTGAACTGCCCAAGGTTATGAAGTCCTTTCAAGGAAGTCTTAACTGATTTGTTGTGATTCTTCCTCAGGAAGATATATTTCATCTGTACTATACTGTCTACGTTAATGCATTCCTTTGTGAATGTTCTAAAGTTACTTCATTGGTTGCTTCTAATTATAGACTACTCGAGGGCAAGGAGTCTTATAATTAGAAAGTGTCTTCTAATTCTTTCAGGATCCCTGAATAGCACCTAGTACAATGCCCTACATAGAGCAGGCACTCAGGGAATGTTGGTAAACTGATTCATGTTCTAGTTCCCTAGAAACAGCAGCCAGCAGCAAACAGAAGATGAGCAGGGGTTCTCTCTCTCTCTCTCTCTCTCTCTCTCTCTCTCTCTCTCTCTCACTCCCTCTCCTCCCTCTCTCTTTCCCTCCCTCTCTCTCTTTCCCTCTCTCTCTCTCTCTCTCTCTCTCTCTCTCTCTCTCTCTCTCTCTCTCTCTCTCTCTCTCTCTGTCTCCCTCTCCCTCTCCCTCTCCCTCTCTCTTTCTTTCTCTCAATGAGGCCTTTTTGTAATCGGTTTTGTTGCCACTTCCTACCATTACTGACCTCCATATATACTATGATTCAGCTGCATTGGCCTATTTGCTGTTCTTCACACAGAATGTTCCATCTTCCAACACCATGCATTTGTACTGGCTGTCCCCTACGCTTGAAACTCTCTCTTACTTCTCATCTTTTCCTAGATTCTCTTTCTCCATAGAAGTATCTATAGAATGATTCTACATATACATACACATATGTGTGTGTATGTGTGTGTCTAATGGTAACTAGGGTGAGGGAGGAGGGAAGAAAGAAAAAAAGTTAAAAAAAGAGAAATTTACATGATAACTATTATATATTTAAAAGGAATAGTGAGTTGTACATAATAGATTTGCAGTACAATCATCTTTTTTTATTATAATATGTTATGGAAATGCTTGTTTTATTCCATAAATTAAAAATAGTACATTAAAAAAATAATTAAAATCCTGTCTTCTGCAGGAGGTCTTTTCTGGTTCCCTGTCCCTCCTCCCACCTTCCCTTAGATACTATTTTCCATTTATACTGTATATAACTTGTATGCACATAGTTGTTTGCATATTGTCTCCCCCATCAGGATGTGAGCCCTTGGAGTACAAAGACCACCTTTCTTTCTCTCCCGCACTTAGGGCCTGGCACGGAATAAATGCTTGGTGACTGACTGACAAATAAGACATATAAACTCTTCCCTTAAGGACTTCACATGAGACAGCCTTGGAGAAGTTACTAATCTTTGTTGCGCTCAGTTATCATCTGTATGATCCACCCACTCCAGTGGGTTATTGTAAGCATTTGGGGTGCAGCAAAAAGCACATTGGCCTAGGAGTCAGGCTTTGATTCCTAATTTACAAACTGCCAACTAGTCCACTCTGTGAGGTACACAGATAACTATAATAGAGGCTAGGTGGGTGTGAGGAGGGTCATAAGAGCAATCGGCTCAGGGGTTTCAGAGAAGGCAGAGAGAAAGAGAGAGGGAGAGAGAGAGAGAGAGAGAGGAGAGAGAGAGAAAAGAGAGAGAGAGAGAGAAGAGAGAAGAGAGAGAGAGAGAGAGAGAGAGAGAGAAGAGAAGAGAGAGAGAGAGAGAGAGAGAAAGAGAGAGAGAGAGAGAGAGAGAGAGAGAGAGAGAGAGAGAGAGAGAGAGAGAGAGAGGAGGAGAGGTGGGGGAGAGAGATATGATATCTAGTTGTGGACGATCAGGGAGTTATGGCGTGCCTAAGCTGAGACTTGAAAGATAAGTAAGATTTCAAGAGATGAATATTGAAGTCGAGGGAAACAAAGAGATTATGTTCCTGGTTTTAGAATCATAAGAAGTCTTAGAGAACAGCTATCTGAACCCCTCATTTCCCAGAGGGGGAAACTTGAGTTTACAAAGGTAGAAAGCAGCAGACCTGGGAACCAAACGTAGGATCTCTGACTCCAGGTCCACAGAGCACTGTCCATGAAACCACTTGACCATGCAGATGCAGGGGAGGGGAAGAAGATTCCCTCAACTCCTCCTTCCCGGGAGAAACGAAGAGCCGTGAATTCTCTCACCTTGGTGCAAATCCTCCTCGAGCTTCTCAACTTCCCACAACTTGGAGAGTCTTTCTGACTGTGCCTACAATTTCCTGGGAGCCTTTCAAAATTAAATGGCTTCCATAACAACCCTTGTGAGAGATGAATCTTTATGTTCCACAGCAAGCTGGTTGCCCAATGACGGACTAGTCATATTTGAAGAACTAATATTTTTCCTAGAAGCGGAAGATGCACCTGTAGGTGGAGGATGAGGGGGTGTAATGAGTTAATAGGTGTGACAGAGATTGGAAAAAGGAAAGGAAAGGAGAGAAAAGCAGCATCAATAAAACATAGAAAGAAACACTGGAAAGGGTGCTCTGGAAAGAATGCTAAATTTGGAGTCAGAGGAACTGGTTTAAAATGCTGGCTGGGCCACTTGCAAATCTCCCTGGGCCTTAATTCCTCACCAGTAAAATGAAGTGGGTTACACTTGTCACATATTAGCAGGACATAGGTTTGACCTGCCTGCTTTCTACCTTTTCAGGCTTCTTACACATTATTCTCCTCCGTAAACTCCATGATCCTGCTTACGTTGGTTGACTTGCTGTTCCTCATGTTGTTGTTTGCTCATTTCAGTTGTGTCTGACTTTTCATAACCCCTTTCTTGGCAAAGATACTGGAGCAGTTTGCCATTTCCTTCTCCAACTCATTTTACAGAGGAGGAAACTGAGGCAAACAGGGTTAAGTGACTTGCCTAGAGTCACACAGCTGAGTAAGTGTCTGAGGCCATGTTTGAATTCATGAAGGTGAGTCTTCCTGACTCCAGGCTCAGCACACTACACACTGCACCGCCTAGCTACCCATTCCTCACACAGAATGCTCTGTCTCTGAATTCTATGCATTTTCATTGGCTGTCCTCCCTGTCTAGAATTCTCTCCCTCCTCACCTCTAACTCCTGTCTTCCCTGCCTTCCTTCAAAACTCAGGTAAAATATCTTCTACAGGAGGCCTTTCCTCATTTCCTGTCCCTCCTCCCACCCTACCATCCTTAGAAAATATCTCGCATTTACCCTGTATATATCTGGTATGTGCACAGCTGTTTGCATGTTGTCTTCCCCATTAGAATATGAACTCTTTGAGTGTAAGGTAAAATGAAGGTTCTGCGCAACCCTTAAATCTATGGTCTTATCATCCTAAATGAAAAAAAATTTAGAAGGGGACAAGTTTGTTACTACTAAGTTAAATTTAGTAGGTACTTTTAATATGACACAGTAGAAGTTCACATTTTCACAATCAATGATTTTTGTTCCTATTCGCACACTGGAATGTGGATGTTGGCTTTGTTGTCATTGTTGAGTCATTTCAGTAAGTGATTGTTAAGTTAAAAATACAAAGAAATTTTTTTAAAAACTCAAATATGGGGCAGCTAGGTGACACAGTGGATAGAGCACCAGCCCTGAAGTCAGGAGGACCTGAGTTCAAATTTGGCCTCAGACCAGACACTTGACACTTACTAGCTGTGTGACCCTGGGCAAGTTACTTAACCCCAATTGCCTAAAAAAAAAAATTTGAAAAAGAAAGTCAAATATGCTACATTATGCTGATGAGAAGAAGCCAACCTGCAAAGGATCTCCTATGGAAAGAGTAGCTCATCTTGCCTCAGGCTTAAATGGCTCACCATGGACAGAACTTGGGCAATAAACTGAGCTAGTGTTTGCCCTAGTTATGAAGTCATCACCAGCTCTAGGGATAAATTAAAGCATGGCAAATGCAGACTCTCAATCATACCTTTATGATTCAAGCTAACCATTCTGGTTTGTCCATCATGCAGAGATAACATGCTCTACTTGCTTAGCATTTGCAAGAAGACATTCAGTTTTGATCTAGGCTAAATTCTTCTTATTGAGAAGAGGGTTGGGGGGCAGGAAGGTGATTCAGTGGATAGAACACCAGCCCCTGGAGTCAGGAGGATATGAGTTCAAATCCAGCCTCAGACACTTGACACTTACTAGCTGTGTGACCCTGGGCAAGTCACTTAACCCTATTGCCTAGCCAGAGACAGAGAGAGAGAGAGAGAGAGAGAGAGAGAGAGAGAGAGAGAGAGAGAGAGAGAGAGAGAGGGACAGAGAGAGAAAGAGAGAGAGAGAGAGAGAGAAAAGAGGGTTGGGTGGAAATTACGGCCCTTTTCTCTGGGGAACTGTAAATTTTTGCATACGCATACACATACACTCCTCTATGTACATCAATTAGTGTAATATTACCCTTTTTATTGTCTATGTGCTCTTGTTATATGATGTTATCCTATAATGTATTCACTTTCTCATTTCCCATTATTTCATTGAAATATGAATTTATGGAAATTCAAAGCTTCACAGGACCTGAGGTTATCTAGTTCAACTCATGTGTTACCCACCTCCTGACTGAGTGCTAATGGAATGTATTCCCTTCCCACTTCTGCCTCTCAGATTCTCTTGTTTCCTTCAAAACTCTGTTCAAGTACTACCATCTACATGAAGTCCTTCTTGATCCTAACAGTCATCAGTGTCCTCTCTGCATAAAATTCATCTTATATTTGTTTGCTCTCTGTCTGTCTCTCTGTCTCTGTCTCTGTCTCTGTTTCTGTCCCTCCCTTTGCCGTCTCTTCTAATAGGATGTGAGTGTAGGGGCTATTTCATTTTTGTCTTTCAATTGCCAGCAAATAACTTGGTGCCTGAAATGGAGAAGGAGTTTAATCAATATTTGCTGATTGGTTGATTTTTAAACATTTTATAAAAATTAACTTCACCATCAGTAAGTACTCTAAGTGTGAGGTCCTTGTCAGATGGCTAACAAATGGATGAATTATTGGAGGAACTGAATCATATCAATCTTGACATTCTCAACTAGAAACCAGAAAATAGAAGAAAAGTATAGCTAAATGGCTTACAGGTCTGGATAGTTAAATAAAAGAATGAGTGAAATTTACTTGACCTTACATCCAAAGCCAAAAAGAAATATCATTACATGGGATTTTTAGTCATTGCATATTATAGTCCTCATGATGAGCATTTGCAAAAAAAAAAAGATCATCATAAATATAATTAAAATTTATGTACAGACATCTCTTACACAAAATAATGTGGAAGAGAAATTCTATGAAGAACACAGGAAGAACACAAGAAGACTCTCCAAATTAAATAAACAAGTATTTTAATACTGATGACTTCAGTGCAGCTGTGGGCATAGGGTGGGATGGCAAAAATATGATAGGAAATAAAATTTAGGATTAAGAAATGAAAGATGGGTCACACCTATATATCATAAATGTTTTTTTTTCAAAAAGAGATTTGAGAATCAGTAGACATGATAAGCATTAACCAAAAAATAAATCACACAAAAAATAAAAGTGATTATATGTTCTTCTTTTCTTTTTTGGTGAGGCAATTGGGATTAAGTGAATTTCCCAGGGTCACACAGCTAGTAAGTATCAAGTGTCTGGTCTGAGGCCAGATTTGAACTCAGGTCCTCCTGACTCCAGGCCTGGTGCTCTATTCACTGCACCACCTAGGTGCCCCAAAAGCGATTATATCTTAACAGAAATGAAATAACTGGTAACTAATGTGGGAGTCATTCCAATTTTAGCTGTCTTGTTTGCAGTCAGACCATGGAATTATTAAAGCAAAGATCAAAGTCAATATTAGATTAAAAGAAAGGATTAAAATAAGCAGATATGATATGCAATTAAAATACCTCCTACTTCACATAAACCATGGATGCCAAAAAGAAAACAAGAAATGGACAAAAGAATAGACATTGTTACATATTATCCCCATTTCATTTAGAAGTTTTCCTAATGTGAAACAATCACCTCAATGATGGACCTCAAGGAGCCTGGAAATCACCTCATCCAGCACACATGTTCAGTGTAATATAATGGAAAGAGCTTTGGATTTGTAGGCAGAGAACCAGGGTTTGAATCCTGGCTCTCCTACTTTATAACCCAGGGTATACTGTCCAGCTTCCCTGGACCTTAGTTCCCTTATCTATAAAATGAGATTGGACTCTATGACCTATGAGGCCCCTCCCAGCACTCAATTCTATGATCCCATTATCTTTGTCAAATGCAGAGAGCTGGCAGCCAAGTATAAAGCCAGTTTACAATGTAAATTAATGTAAATTAATCTATAAAATCTTATTAGAGAAAATGGTAGATGATTATGAGCAATATAGCCTCATAAAACAACAACGGAAAGGGAACAAGAATAAGCATTTATTAAGCACCTACTACATGCCAGAGACTGTACTAAGTGCTTTAAAAAATATTAACTCATTTGATCCTCTCAACAACCCTGGCAGGTGGGTGATATTACAGTTAAGGAAACTGAGGCAAAGAGAGGTTTAAATCACACAGCTAGTAAATATCTGAGGCCAGATTTGAACTCACATCTTCCTAACTCCAGACCCAGCTCTTTATCCACCCATGCCATCTATCTGCCTTCAACAAGATCCAGTAGAGGAAAAAACCAAGTTTACATAAAGCTTGGAAGGATAGGCACACAGATTGTTGGTGGAGCTGTGAAATGATGTAGCCATTTTGGAAAGCAATTTGGAATTATGCAAATAAAAGGACTGAAATGTCCATATGCTTTGAACCAGAGACTCCATTACTGAGCTCATGCCCCAAGAAAGCCATTGATAAGAAAAAAATCCTGTATACACAAAATATTTATAGCACTTTTTGTGATAACAAAGAATTGCAAATAAAGTAGATGCTCGTTGATTGGGCAATGATTAAACATATTATGAATGTAATGAAATATTATTGTAAGTAAGAAATGATGTGTATAATGAATACATAGAATGATAGAAAGAGCTATATGAACTGATGCAGAGTGAAGCAAACAGAACCAAGAAAACAGTATACACAGTAACTACAACAATGTAAATGGAAAGAACAATGACACACCAAGAAATGAAAGTAAATGTAACAAAATTATAAAGATCAAGTGGGACTCAAATGAGTAGATTTGAGAAGACATTCTCAACCTACCCCTTCATGAAGAGGGGAGGTCCACAAGTGTTACATGTTGCACACGTTTTTGGACTTTTTCCAATGTATGGATCACTTGTGCTGACTTTTTTCCCCTCTCCAGAAAATACTTTCTGTCATGTGGGTTAGCTTTCTGGAAGGAGAAGGAGAGGTATATATGAAATTCGATGGTGATGTAAGAAACAGAAAATATCAATAAAATATATTTTTAAGTTAAAAAAAATAAAGACGTAAGAAGAGAACTAATGATTTTCAAAAATGATATTCTCCAGTAGATTGCATCTTCACTTTTTCACAACTGACTAAACTGTAACAAGAATATAAATTCCTACTCTATTTATTGTTTAGCTATAAAAAAAAATTGTTACCTTAAAGGCTTTCTAACAAGGAGTCATCCATAATAAATTAGATAATATAAGATTCTTTGAAGGATGTAATAGCAGAGGTAACTTTGTTCAACCACCCTTAGGTTATTAATATCAAATGAAACATGAAAAAGAGAAGTGTATGCTTACCAAAGGGCTTTTGCCACTGTCATGGAGCAAATAGTAGACGTTAATCTGCATTCCAACTCCATAGTTCTTTGTTTGGATGTGGATAACATTTTCCATCTTGAGACTTTTGGAGATGTCTTAGATCCTTGCATTGCTGAAAAGGGCTAAGTCTATCAAAGTTAGTCATCACACAATGTGGCTGATACTGTGTACAATGTTCTCCTGGTTCTGCTCACTTCACTCAGCATCAGTCCATACAAGTCTTCCCAGATTTCTCTGAAGTCTCCCTGCTCATCATTTCTTATAGCACAATAGCATTCCATTACATTCATATACCACAACTTGTTCAGCCATTCCCCAGCTATCTCAGTTTCCAATCCTTTGTCACCACAAAAAGAGCTGCTATAAATATTTTTGTACGTGTGGCTCCTTTTCCCATTTTTATGAACTCTTTAGGATATAG